GCACTGTCCCTCTCCGTATCCTGGCCCTCTGTTTGCCCCTCCTCCCCCATGAGTCAAACCCTGTCCAGTCAACTGGGATGACCTGAGTAAAGGGTTTAGGGTTACTGCTTGCGAGCACCGGGAAGCCACGGGGATAGATGACAGGACTGCCTGTGCTGTAGGGCCTGGAGGGAATGAAGGAATTGAGGGGTTATTGATAGACAGCAAGGGGACAGCAGCAACAACAAATGCAGCATAGGAGGAAAGATGGACAGGGTGGGGGGACAAAGGATCCAGTGATACTCAACAGAGGGGGGGTTAAGGGGACCAATGCTGTCGCGATCCACAAGGTTGAGGGTTTATCAGACATGAGGGTTTGACAGAAACCGCTCGTTAGGTTTACTGAGTGTGTGAACTTGCAGATGAAATGCATATGCTCAGTTAATCCCCTGTGAGCCAGGGCAATCAATGCTGGCAGGCAGACAACTGATGTGACACTCTGGATGTATAATGGGATGCTGGACCAGTTTCCAGCAGGTGCAGCTCCCCACCAATAGACCGGAGTAATTAAAAAAAAAAAAAAAAAAAAAAAAAAAAGGGACCAACTTACTGAGTGTGTGAATTTGCGAGATGAAACTCATAGGAATGAACTACAGGGGTGTGCTTACCCTGCGAACAATGCTGCAGCAGAATACTTTTAAGTAGGACTGTCATTGTTTCAAGATCTGTAAAATGTATGAAAGGACGCTGGACCCGCTTTCCAGCAGGTGCTGCTCCGCACTACTAGATGGAGTCATCCAAAACGGGGTCTGGTAATGGAGGATGCTCCTATCACATCCATTAGCATGATCCACGACAGGGCGATGTTTTCCTTTAAAAAAAAAAAAAAAAAAGCAAGAAGTGTGCGACGAAAGATGTTCAAAGCTCACTCCCAGCTCCTGCTGGAAGAAAATGAAACAAACAAACAAAAAGAAAAAAGAAAAGAAACAGACTGTTTGATGAATGAATCTCCGATGGGCCAGGCATGCTACATTGGGCCTCGCTGCACTTCTCTCCACATGCACAAACGACAAAAAAGATGGCAGAGTATCTTTCCATGTTCTAGCGGTGGATTCAGTCTCCTTTTGCACATTGGGAGAGTAGTCCAGCGAGGTATTAGTCCTCAATCATTGAATCCACCTTGAGAAGAAGAAGAAGAATAAGAAGTGAAAAAAAAGGAGAGATAGGGTAAGTAGAGGAAACGCAGACCCGCACGTAACAAAACATATGTCGTTAATACCGAGACTCGACAGAGTAGCCACATAAACGATTTACGTGTCCCGCTATGGCTACTGAATATCGGTGTGCATCCCACACTCCAGAACCGGAAGTCGAAGAAATACGAGAGAGGAGGAGGAGGAAAAGAAGAACTTCAAGACAAAGACTGACAGCGTAGTGTAGGCGATGGAACCGCGTAGCCACTCTGAACATAGTTCTATTTCTACGTAGGTTACTACGTAAGATAATGAGGTATTAGTCCTCAATCATTGAATCCACCCGAGTACGAGTGCCAATCATCGCCAACCATTGAGAAGAAGAAGAAGAATTGAATTGAATTGAAAGTAGCGAGGCCAGCGCTATGCGTCCATGTCCAGATGATGTTCCATACAACTCCCACACGGACTAAAACAGCTCAACGTGCACATTCCCCGACGTGTTTCGCCTGGCTGTGCACCAGGCTTCTCAAGGGGCAAACCTCGCTCCCGCATCCACCTGACTTTCCACCTGAGCAAGAGGACCGTTCTGGCCTTGCCCTCTGTTAGTATGCCTTCCACATGTGCGGCTGCACACCTCACCTCAACAGACTGTGACTCACCTGTTGCTTGTCGTGGCAGGCCAGGTAGGCCCTTGTACACGTCCGCCACTGTTCCCTCATGCGTGCACCTAACGTTCTATGTTTTCTAGCTCCACGCGTACCGGTCACATGTGCGGCTCTGGTACTCCCAGTCGGGTGCGACGCAGACCTGAGGGTCTATACGGCTACAATTTCCACCCGCCCGCCAAGTCGTTACTGCTCGTGGCCGGGCCCTGAGATCCCAGTCTTGGTACCGGGTGCTATTCACCCGGGGCTTGCCGACTTCCACACCTCTCCCCTTATTCAAACTCTGCCCGTTGCGCTCGATCTACCACTTACCTTTACTGTAACACCCATACACTATCAGATAATCCCCCTGCTCTGGTATTGTACACCCAGTCCGAATCATACGTCGCAAGACTAACCTACCCGTTCTACTATCCAACTGCCTGGCGTCTACGCTAGTGCCGCTCCCCGTGCCTGCTCCCTCAACGTTGTACGGACTTACCTATCTCTCTCCGTACGGTCCCACCATACGTCGTATCTAACTTCCCTAGTTCCCGACACCAGGCATACCTTCCAGGCCCTGATCTGACTAACGTACACCCCAGCTCACCGGGTTTGTAAGCAACCTACTACTGTACCCTCTTGTTTACTATGACCCTACTATACACTGTTCCAGCTCCCTGCCCTTCGGCAGGCGTCTCAGATCCATAACCAGTTGCCCGGTCAGCGCCTCCAACGCTGTACCGCACGAACCAGTGGCTCTGGCAAACCTCGCCAGAGTATTGAAGAAGAGCGCCGGGGGGTAGCCCCGGCGCCTGAGCTCGATGCTGATTGACAACATTGCGGGAACCGCTGCTGCCGGGTCACTTGCATGGTCTCGGATTCTGTAGAGTGCTGCTGTCACAGTCCCCACCTTTACTCTCTTGTCTGAGTATGAACTGAAGTCTTGAAAACCTCTGAAAGGAAGGGGTTTCTCAAGGTCCTGGTCCTCAGTCTTGTGCCTGGGACAGATCAGGAAATTGACAGGCCCAGGTATCGCTGAGATCCTGGTACCCATAAAATCCCAGGAATTCGAATCATCATCTGTTCGTACCAACTTAAGTTGCTCCCCATACGCTGCTGCAATCTTCCGGCGGACATCCACTGCTGCGGCTACACTATTCAGATCATCCATGTCACATGCTACCGCCAATGTGACATCGTCCACAAGCCTGACTCCGTGCGCGAGCCTCTGGTCTGCACCTAGAGTGGACCGTTAAAGGAGAGATGATAGAGGACATGGAAACTGAAGCGACTGCAGAAGATTGGAGATGTACATTGTGCTATGTATACAAGTCGGTAGAGGTCAATGGGCCTCTCTGCACTACTTCTTTATCTCTCCTTTCCTTTCACTTCTTCTTCTTCTTCTTCTTCTTCTTATTATTATTATTATTATTATTATTATTATTATCTTCCCTTCTCTCTCCTTTCTTTTCACTTCTTCTTCTTCTTCTTCTTCTTCTTCTTCTTCTTCCTCTTCTTCTTCTTCTTCTGCTCCAGGTTCGTTAGATAAGCCCCCGGCGCAATCCAAAGGCTCAGGACAACGATCCCACGGATCAGGACAACCATCTGCAATCAGACTCAACTTATTCACACGTGAACAGCAGCAGACAAACTGGCGACATGCGCCCACACAGTACTCAGAGATATCGCAACCAGATAAAAGTTCTCTTTCAATTGGCTATGGCGGCTGTGCGCCCAAACAACTCACTATTCACACTCTGGATCACCCTGGATGCCCCACGCACATCACTCTGCACACACACTCAGTACACACATTCTGCACTCTACACTAAGCTATGGCAGCTATGGCTGCCGCTACCTATCGCTATGGCGACCCTGCTTCACTCTCGCCCACTTCGTCTTCGGGCCTTCAGCAGACCTCCTTGCACAAGACGCTGAAGCAGCGCTTGACGCTGAAGCAGCGCTTCCGCATGGCTTCCGCATGAATGAATGAATGGCTGGGCGCAGCCTCTTGATTTATACTTCTGTGCTGCGTTGGTCTGCCCTGTACCCCTGGCCYATCGTGCACRCAGTCCCAGACGGTACTTGCTGGACTGGACCGGACTGGGTGGACTGGGACTGCTGACTGTACTAGGTGGACTACCACCACTTGACCACTTGCCTCTGCTGAACGCAGACTCACTCCGAAAGGNCAGTCCCAGACGGTACTTGCTGGACTGGACCGGACTGGGTGGACTGGGACTGCTGACTGTACTAGGTGGACTACCACCACTTGACCACTTGCCTCTGCTGAACGCAGACTCACTCCGAAAGGCCACTTCTAGAACCCTCTAACTTGGCCTTTCGGTACTGTAGCAGCTACGACCTTGCCCTTTCAGGTAAGTAGCAGCTACGACCTTGACCCTTCAGGCAGTCTACAGCTACGACCTCTAACTGTCTAGACTCCTACCCTACAGGTCTACAGTCCGAATACCTTCTACCCTGTGACCTACGGAAAACTACCTACCACTGGCGGTACTACAGTTAGCAGGTTCAAATCTACGGGTTGACGCCGGTACTGTACACAGGTAAGGTGGGGAACTAGGGATCCAGCCCTGGGATCTGCATAACCACTTCACTCCCGCCGGGCTAAATTCGAGGTCCTCCGAGAAAATTTCAGTCCAGGGCAGGACCTTTACCTCTCTGTTGTCTTTCGTAGGCCCGGACTATATCGGGAGCTGTTTCTAGAAGTTCAGATCTCATAAACCAGCGGTCGTCTTCCGGTTCTTGATAACTAAAATGAACCTTGTACTGTTTCTGCGGACGACCCCTGCCTCCAGTTCTGAAGACATCGTCAGCCACTATACCATCGATGTCATATCTTCCATCCATATCGGTGGGATCAACGATCTACGGGATGGAAACCGATCACTTGTTTGACAAGGCAGTAACTTCGATGCATGGGAAACTGGGTAAGTGTGGAGGTGTGCTGGGAGTTCTATGGTATAGGACGGTCCATCTTCGCCGCCCTTGACTTCTAGGACGGGCCACGGTCCTCTATATGTGGGCAATAACGTCTGCGAGATGTTCTCCTCAGGTGCAAACTCCTTAGAACTGACCCAGACTAAGTCGCCTACTTGAAACTGTGAAGGGCGACGATGCTTGTTCGCTTGTTCTATCATCCTATGCTGGGCCTTCCTGAGGTTCTCTACAACAGTAGCTAGTTCTTTCTCGTGCTGTACAGCAAACTCCTTGGTCCTGGCGGCAATCTGTGAATCTCATCCCGGCTGAGTCCTTCAAAGGGTCTACGGGGCCTAAAGGACTTGTGCAGTTCGTTGGGAGTGCGGCAAGTAGACAGATGCACGCTGTTATTGTACGCACTAGCTACTTTAGGCAGCATCTCATCCCAGTTAATCTGATCTGGCCTAATGTACATGCGCAGAACTTGCTGTAGGATCTTGTTCATTTGCTCGGTCTGACCGTTAGTCTCTGGATGGCGGCCAGACGGTATCAACAGCTTAGATCAATATACTCCCATGAGTTCTTGCCAGTTCTGGCTAGTAAAGCGACTATCTCTATCGCTAGCTATAGATAGTGGGAGTCCATTCTCACTCACCCAACAGTCAAAAAGCCTCTGTATGACTAAATCAGTACGTGCCTCTGAAGGCAAAGGAACAAAAACTGCGTACTTACTAAAACGGTCAACTATGACCATGACTTGGCTCTTGCCATGCCTGCTCTTGACCTGAGTGTCCATGAAGTCTATGGATACTGAGTCTCCCGGCTGGTCCGGAATGGGCAAGGGTCTGAGAAGACCTAGCGAAACACGCATAGAAGTCTTGTTACGCTGGCAGACTTTACAACTGTGAACATACTCTACGCAGTCATTCTTCATCCCTGGCCAGGTATATATGCGCATTAGATTGGCTAAAGTCTTTTGCCAACCAAAATGACCCTCTGTGTCGTGGCATTCTCCCAGAATCAGACTACGAATCTCTTCGCTACGGGGAATGCACAGGCGGTCAAATACATTAGTCTTCTCAAAGAGCAACCCTTCGGTAGTGCGGTAGTTCGGTTCAGTCTCTGGGGCCTCTTTGACTTTCTTAAGGAGGTCACTGTAGATAGGGTCCTGCGCGTAGGCTTCTCTAACCTTCTGCTGGAGATCCTTTCCTATATCGAGGTAGTGTACTATTGCCCCAAAGTAATCAGCTCTTCTACTCAGAGCATCCGCGACTACGTTATATTTCCCTTTGACTGGCTTGAGCTCAAAGTCGTACTGATCTATCTTTGCGGCCCACCTAGTAAGCTTAGGTGTCATCTTGGCCTGCGTCTTTAACCATCTTAACGTCTCATGGTCTGAGTAGACTTTGAAGTGCCTCCCAAGCAAGTAGTGCTTCCAGTGTTCCAAGGCTTGCCTGAGAGCGTAGAGTTCCCTCTCATAGGTAGATGTCGCGACCTTCTCTGAAGGCATTCTGGCAGACATAAACTCTACGGGCCTATAACCATTGCCATCATCTAGCTGTAACACGGCACCTATGTCGTACTGGCTAGCGTCCGTAGTGACGACAGAGGGCAAGGACGGATCGGCGACCTTAAGGACTGGATACTCTATCAACGCCTGTTTCAACTTCTTCATAGCAGACGTGCAGTCCTTATCCCACTTCCAGATGGTCTCCTTTCTGAGCAATCTGCGAAGGGGCGGAGTTCTGTAGTAGTTCCTCACGAACTTCCTGTAGTAGTTTGCCAGGCCTAAGAGCGACCGCAGTTCTGTCAACGTTCGCGGTGTTGGCCAATCTCGAATCGCTGCAATCTTACTATCTTCCGGCGTGACGCCGTCTCCGTCTAAGACGTGGCCTAGGTACAAAACTTGGGTCTTTGCCCAATCGCACTTCTTTGCATTGATCTTGAAGTTAGCTTCCTTCAGCTTCTCCAAGACCTGCCTGAGATGACCCTGATGATCTTCAACGGTCTTACTAAACACTAAAATGTCATCTAAGTAAACTACGACGAATCTGTCTAACCATGGCCTAAACAAATCATTCATACACCGCTGAAAAGTTGCTGGCGCATTGGTTAGTCCAAAGGGCATCACTATAAACTAATGCCCGTACCTAGTCCGGAAGGATGTTTTATACTGATCATCAGGATATACCTTTATCTGATGATATCCGGACTTTAAGTCTATCTTAGAGAAATATCTGGCCCCCTGCACTCGATCTAAGAGATCGTCTATCCTAGGCAGTGGCTCAGCATTCTTCACTGTAATAGCATTCAGACCCCTATAGTGTATGCACATTCTCAGCTCTCCCTCTTTCTTAGGAACAAAGAGAACGGGTGCTCCGAAAGGAGACGAACTGGGCCTAATCCAACCCTTCTCGAGGAGCTCGTCTAATTGCTTGCGAAGCTCCTCTAACTCCCGTGGGGACATCCTATACACAGCGCCCTTGGGAGTTCTACTGTCAGGCTCTATCTCAATGCGGTGCTGGATGGGCCGCGGTACTACTCCTGTCGGCGGCTCAGTTAGATCCTTGAACTCTTCCAGCAGCTTGGCAATCGCAGGGTCCATCGACATTTCTTTCGTAGGCTCAGTCATTGGCCTAACATAGGCAACAAAGACCTGTTCCTCCAATTTCTCCTTCTTCACTAATCTGGCGAATGCAGGCACACTAAGGCAGCAATGTGCCAAGGGATTCTCTACTCCTGACACATGGAACAGGCGGGCAGTCTTAGCCTCGCCTGAAGAGCTAGGGAGCCTACACTCGTGCTCCTTCAAATGGAGCGTGGCCCCGGCTGCCTCTCCCCAATCCATTCCCAGGACAATATCAAATGGGAGGCTGTCTTCGACGAGGAGAGTCAGGGAGTGGAGAACCTTCTCCACTTTCCCATCCTTCTCTAGGCGAAAATACGCCTGGACTCCCTCTACATACTCCTTTACAACCATAGTACGATTGTCTGCGAGGATATTAACTATAGGGTCTGCTAGCTTTTTGGACTTCAAGTCCCAGCTTCAACGTCTACAACGCTTTCTTACTAATATAGCTGCGGGTGGCCACTGAGTCTACTAGGGCCCCTACTCTGCCTCTAAAAATCTTTGTATCTACTAGTATAAGTTGCCCTTTATTCTCCTTTCTCATCTTGGTCCAGGCGGGCATCCTCTCCTTCAACTCTCCGGCCACGCCTATGAGGGAGGTGTCTAGAGAGACTCTAACACAAGCAGTCTTCGGACAGTCATCTAGACACCGACCTGCAACCTCTGCCATAGGCACATGTGGTGTGGGAGTCTCCTGCCGGCTAGCGCTATGTTCCCCACATGGCCTAATGGTAGGGGCAGTTGCTACCCCTACCGGCGGCTGCCTTTCGGCCCTTGAGCAGCCGTTCGGGTCTCTCGGTACTTAGGACAGTATTTGATGATGTGGCCCGGGTCACCGCAGAAAATGCACTGGCCCCGGTCCAATCGTTGTTGCCATAAAGTCTGGTCCAGACCCAAAGTTTCCCAAGGCTTACCCTGCGGCAGCCCGGGGTGCCATCCTCCTACCCTATAGGGAGACCTATTCCTAGGACGGTTTTGCGGGGGACCTTGACCCCTGCCTCCCGCTTGGCGGTTTCCTCCTCTGCCGCCAACCCCCTGATCGCCCTGAAACCGGCTCCCTAAGGCCCGGCCCCCTTGGCCCTGGCCTCATCCTCCTTGTGGCCTCCCTCCAACCGCGACAGCAGCGTAAGTCCTTCCCTGGCCCACACCGCTGTCCTCCTCTTCTAACCCCCACTCAATCTGATCGTAGGGGATCTCATCCACACTACCCTCATCTAAAGTTAGGACAAGGCTATCCTTAGTCTTCACCTGCCCAGAGATAATGCGGCCCTTCCATTGTTTTCCCTTATCCAAATCTTTGTGCCAGAAGGTGGAAACTAACACAGATTTTGCCTCAAAGGCCACCACTTCACAGCTAAGGGAATCGTAAGTGGTGGCAGGGTCTTCGCTCTTCGCGAAGAAGTGCTCGCGAAAAGCTTCGGGCATCGCTCTATAAAAGAGGGCGACCAACTGGGTGTTTGTAACCCCATGGTCAGGGACAGCTACCAATTCGTCCATTGTGCTCTTGAGTGCCTTGACACTCTTCCACTTACAGGCATGGATCGTTTGGAGCTTGTCCGAGGCCTTAACACTGCGAGCGACATCAGCAAATCGCTCGCGCAACAGCTTCAAGAATTCAGTGAGGGACGTGAACGAGGAGTACGCAACTGGATCGTCACTACAGTTGGCAGCGCGAGCTAGGGACCTTGCAAAGCTGGCGGCCTCATCTCTAAGCGAGTGGATCGCAATTAGGAACTGCTGATCCGGGGAGACCTGTTGCAGATGCACATAGGTCTTGACATTGGCCTCCCAATTGTCAAAGTTTTCTTCCCGTTTTCCACTGTAGGAATTACGGAATTTGACTTTGACCGGCTCCCGGCGAGGAGGACGTGCTTCCTTCTCCTTGGGAGCTGCCGCTTTAACGCCTTCAATGACGCCGGCACAAAACCGCTCAGTCTTCTCGAGGCAATGACCCACCTTGGTGCCTTTAGCGCCTACCAACTCCCGAGCAAAGTCCCGGAATCCCAACTTTATTGAACACACAGCTATGTGTTGACTCCTACTAAAGTCATATTGCTCCGCGTGAATTCGTGTCAGGCGTGCAACGTTTCAGGCTATGACTCGCATTTGGTTTGGGAGTTCGGTCTGGGCGGCTAACTGCTCTTCTATCTTCTGTACCTCCTCCAATTCTTCTGCTGCCTCCGCTGCCGCGTCTACTCTCCTCTTCTTCTCCCTCATCACGGCCAATTTCCACTCCATCCTCTTTTCGTCTTCCAACGCCTGCCGGTTTACGACATCTTTTTCTGCTTCCCAGGCTCTTATAGCGGCTTCCTGGTCATCCTTGGAGATATACATCGCGACCCATTCCGAAATTCGTTTCTCCATCTCCTAATCTCTACTGCCACTGTACTGCCCTCTCTTCCTTTGCAGTGGCGTTTCATCTTCTTCCTCTTCCTCTTCCTCTTCCACCTCCTTCAACTTCTGCTCTTCTTCTTTCTTTATTCTCTCCTTTTCTCTGGCCATCTCCTCTTCAATTTTTTTCACTTGGGCGCCTGCTCCTCCTGCATGGCCTTCTTCTTGGCCTCCCTCTTCTCCCTTCTCTCTTTCAAGATGGCGGCGGCCTTGGCCTCCTCTTCAGGCGTATAGGGGTGTGTGGTCGTGCCACCCTTCGTCTCTACCCTACACGCGAAGGTGTTCCAGAACCCCAACGGGAACATGAAACGCCAAAGGGTCCCCCAAAGGGAGAACCCAACAAGCAGCCCATACATCGGATAGTAATCCATCATGGTGGTAGGTGCACGACAATGTCCCACTCCTCACCACTTAGACCTACCCGGACACACTGACCTACTGACTAACTTTCTAAGGACCACAGGGTAAGGCCCTGTCAGCTATGGTCACTACCCAAGACTACTCTAAGGCTGTCACTACTGAACCAACAGCTGATCAGGAGGCATTTAAGGAGATCCCCCAAACTCCGCAAGAATTCTTTAACATCGCAGCCAGGACGACGTGATCAGCGTGGTTCTTCCTGGCGATTTCAGCCCACAACTCAACCATTCCGGCCTACTGTGCCACACCGAGCAGCCCGTCGGTCCGTACCGGTCCTTGGAGGGGTTCGTATCCCTCGGGACAGTCGAGTCGTCAGACACAGATCATCAGCCTTATTAGGTCCGGTAGGGGAGTGGTTCAACCAGACCTCAACACTTAAAGACGACCTTCGTTTCAGCCTACAGCTCGGAGTTCGGACCCTCTACACTGAAACTGAGTAGACCTGCCGGACAGTACCGGTCATTGGGCTAGACGAGTTGTTTAACGTGCGCTCGCCGCTCATGCCCAGGTCTCCAGATGCCAGAGTGGAGATTAGTCCTACTAAGTCCCGTGCAGGTTTGGCGGCAAGGCCCTATCCTTCATCCACAGAGTCCTAACACCTAGGACAGAAGAGACTCAATGCAGAAAGGAAAGACAGACAAACTCAACTCAGCAAGTACCGTAGGGTGTGTGCACCTCCACAGGGTAAGGGGATAGGCTGAGGGCTCAACGAGATATCACCAACTCCAGCTTGGTCAAAATCTTGGTCAGCAGCTCCGGTCAACGCCTTGGTCAACGTTGAGTCAATGCGGACAACTCTTGGTCAATGCTCAGTCAACCCCTTGGTCAACACCTGGTCAACCCTCTGGTCAACCCCTGGTCAACCCTCTGGTCAACGCTCTGGTCAACACCCGGTCAACCCTTCACCTCGGCTATGGCTGCCGGCACCTTCACCTCCGTCACCCTCGCTGCTTACTTCCCCTTCCTTCACTCTTCTTCTTCTTCACTTCCTCTATTAATTTATTTTTTTTGTTCACCCCCGGCTATGTCTGTCTTCTTCTCCAGTATCCCTCCTTCCACACTTCTCTTTCTCTGTCCTTCGGTCCCCCCCTTCTCTGTCCTCCTTGTCTCTCTCCTTCGATACCCTGTGATGATACTTTGCGGCTATGGCCGCTGTCTTCCTTCTCCACCGGACCACACAACTCGCCTCACAGGTAAGTGACAACCAATCTTGGATCGCTCATCTCTCTCTCTCTCTCTCTCTCTCTCTCTCTCTCTCTCTCTCTCTCTCTCTCTCTCTCTCTC